CAAAATGGTAAACAGCTAAAAGTGTATGTATACTTTTGCAATGCACTGTAAAGGACAAGCCTGGAAGGTGCTTGAACTAAAAGCTAAATGTAGCAGTTATGTAATGGTAGTTTATCCGCAACTCGGCCCAAAATTGTTCATGCCACTGGCCGAGTTAGATTCATTTAAGAAGTCTTTTTCTGATAGGACACGAGAAAGATATCTCACAAAAAATGTGAAATAAGAATTTTGAAAAAAAAAAGAAGTCAATTTTTATTTACATTTTAGTTTAAAAAAAGCAAGTCAAACATTATTTACACCCTTCTCAATAATAAATGGAAAGATAGTAATTGCCATTACAACAATTAGACCCTTCTTATAATCACTGACCAGATTTTTGCATGTTTCCACTTCTATTTTGTTGATTTAACTTTTGTGATAAGCTCCACATTTTTGATGTCGGAAGCCCTCCTTGACATCACCCTGATCTTTAGCTCATAAATAATTTTGGGCTTAACAGGAACTCTCACCCTTAGGTTTCATAATCTACTGATAATACCTAAAAACAGCTGCTTTATGGAGGACAAAGTTTGTATCAGATAATTAGATTCATAATGTATTCACTGCTGCAAAACTGATTTAGTGATTTTACCACACATAACACACGGTGATCAAATCCTGCTGTCGATCCAAAACAAGGAGACATGTGATGTCTTGTTGACAGGCACAGCTTCAAACTCCTCTTATCAGATGTATGACACACGGCTCCATAGATGCAATGTCTCTAAACTATTTAGTTATTATTAATTGAACATGCGTGCACAAGAGCATGTTGTGCACTTGGGTTAATGCAATAGTGCTGAGGGCATCTTTTACATGAGTAATCTCTGGTCTGGAAGGAAGGACCCGGTGTTGATAATTCAGCCCATCCAGTACAGGATGTTGCAAAAGGGCATGCGACCATGTGTTAGAACATGCCTGTGTTGTTTTAAGCGCAGCAAAGCTTGATTTGGTCCAAAACCATAACCGGGAAACATCAGCTGAGGAAGGCTGATGTAATGATGATGGGTGTTGTTTTGTTTATTAGTGCAGTATGGAAATATTGATTTTAGGCGCACAGAATTAGATAAAAGATATGACCGACATGTCGATGCAAAAACATTACATACCGCCAAAGTAGGAGCCGTCCATCAGCTTCATGCCGATGCTTCCTTTGGTCAGGACGCTCACTACTCCGTGCTGAATGAAGTACATCTTCTTTCCAATAGTGCCTTCTCTAATGATGTAGTCACCAGGCTGGAAGACTTCAAACCTCAGTTTGGTCAGCATGGCTGTCACAAAGTTTGGATCAGCGTTGGCAAACAGCGGCATGGAGGCCACCAGCTTACGGCAGTTGAAGTTGACAATTTCCTAAATGGTTGCAGCAGACATTGAAACAGAGAAATTGTAAGACCAAAATTCATGCGTCATACTTCTTTTAAAACCCAACTACTGATTAAAAACCAAACTTAAACTGTTCTTTTCTCAGATAAGAGCAGATTTACTCTTAGCCCATGTGACAGACGTGAAAGGGTTCTGGAGAAGCTGTGGTGAACGTTATGCTGCCTGCAACATTGTTCAGAATGATCGGTTTGAAGATGGGTCACTGTTGGTCTGGGAAGGCATTTACATGGAGGGACACAGACTGCCATTAGGTACTGGGATGAAATCCTCAGACCCATTTTTAGACCCCTTGGTGGTGCAGTGGGTCCTGGGTTTCTCCTGGTGCATGATAATGCCCAGCTTCATGTGGCAAGAGTATGCAGGCAGGTTCTGGATGATGAAGGAATTGATACCATTGACTGCCCTCCATGCTTCCCTGACCTAAATCCGATAGAATATCTCTGGGACATCATTTTAAGTCCATACCATGCTACCCGGTTACACCTTAGACTGTCCAGGAGCTCAGTGATGCTCTGGTCAGGATTTAGGAGGAGGTACGCCAGAAGACCATACGTCATCTCATAAGGAGCATGTCCCGATGTTGTCAGACATGCATAAAAACATGTAGGAGCCATAGAAACTGCTGATGGCCATTTTGAGTTGCTGCAATGACATTTCAGCAAATTTGACTAGCCTGCCACATCAGTTTTTCAGTTTATATTTCTTTGTGACTTTGGCTTAAGCCCTCTGTGGGTTAATCATTTGATGATGTAGCATCCTTTTACTCCTAACACATTACCCATTCCATGTCAGTATGGATATTCAACATGTTTTTTTTTTTTTTTCAATAGAGATTTGGTCTGTTTTCAAAGTGTTCCTTTAATTTTTTTTGTTTTAGTTTTAAACATCTACAAACTGCAGTAGAATCACAGCTCAGATCTAAACTTTTGGGTTTTATTACCTTCTATGGCTAAAGCACTGTTATTCAAGTTATTGTGGTCTTTGTTTTTGTTTGCAGCAGTAGGCAGTGTGCTGAAAAACCATTTTTTGAATAGGTGGACCCAGACATCTAAACTGTCTTCAACTCCTCAGTAAAAAAGTGGTCAAAACAGTGTGCACAATAATTACTATAAACACCATTTAATTTAGTAAATTCATTCACACATGGCTGAAAACTGCAAATAAGAAAATCCCAGTGTACTCCAGTATTCAGAAATGACGAATATGTGTAACAATTGCAGACATAGAGGTGGAATGGAGTGTTTTCATACCTCTCTCAGAGGCTCATTAAGCTCCTCCAGGATGCTCTCCTCATCAAACATCTTGCCTTGGTATCTGTGCTCATAGTAGTCATGGATTTTCTGTCTGAAGTCGGCCGGCAGTTTGTGGAATGACATGTACTGCTCCACTTGCTTGTACTTGAAGAAGGTGAGAGACAGGAGAGATTAGAAAGAGGGAAAACAGATGACTTGATCAATATGAACAGGAGTTAAAGACACTACTGTTAACAGTTTGAGTGGTTTATCTGGCATTATGGTAATTTTGCCTCATGAGTATTAAAAGGTGACTTTACTCTCATTTACTTACAGATGACTTTTTAGAAGAATGTGTTTGACAGCATAGATCTGGGGTAATAACATCTCTATAAAATAAATTAATAAAACTTGGACACATTGTTAGGCAATGTTGAAAGCATAGATTTGGGTGTCTGAAGTAAATACCAAAAAAATATAATAAAATAAAACCGAAGTTGGACCCATTTTTATGGTCGTTGGAAGACATGGTTACTAGCAACTCAATAAAACAAATTAAAATAAATGAAACAAAACTTTTTGTTGGCATTTTTGGTTTGAAAATTGAGATGCTCTAATTTTCAGACTCTTAGTTAGATTTATTAATTAGCTAGTTAACCTTTTATCTCCACAGAAGTTCAACTTCAGATCATGCAGCCTGTGCTGAAGCACAACACTGATGGTCAAAACTCACCTGCTCTTGCTTTTAGTATCGTCTGCATCAGAAATAACAGTTTATTTAACATAAGATAGAAATGTTCTAATAGGCCACAGGCAGCGCCAATACTCTCCCTTTGGAAAATAAAATGGTTCCCAATTTGTATTAGGTGCAGAATCAAAACACCACAGACTCTGATATTATCAAAAGTAAAAATTCAGTGTCCATAAAAAATTGTCAGCAACACATGTTTTCTTATGTCTCCAAGCACCTAAAGCAAATTTGGGAGAATAAAAAGATGAATTGTAGAGTTTAGGGAGACACCATGTAACTGAGAAACAATGGGTTTGCTAAAGAATACTCATCAATAATGCAGCTAGCAAATGTATGTCTAAAAGCATCAGTATAAACAGTTTTAGCCAAAATTCAGGCTAAATTACAGACATGGATTCTGTTTACTACTCAGGTGACCTCAGAAGGCATCAGGTACACTGGATTTTATTAAGGTATTAAGGGGTATGAGATTAATTAGGGGTAAATACAAAGGCACTTCACACTCTGATTTTTTGTTCATTAACAGACATTGAACCCCATGTATCAATTACATTCCACGTTATTATATCACATAAAGTGTTAATAGAACAAATGTTTTTAGTTGCAACTTGAAAAAAATAAGTGAATAATTCAAGTCTATAAATACTTTTGCAAGGCGCTGTTGCTTAAAATGAAGAACAGAAAACCGAGGCTGGAGCCAGAACCCTCCAGTGGGCAAATCTCACTGGAGGGTCAAATTAAACGTGACGGATCACATACTGACCACTATTACTTTTACCAGCGTCAAGCACTACCTAACATACACCTCTCTCAACTGACCATAACACATTTCATGCCTGGATATGTTCTGGAAATAGCAGCTGCTTAATCTACACTGTGGTTTCCCACATCAGGTGAAACTGCTTGGTGTCATTTGGGGAATGAATTGCGCCATTACTGGTTGTTCCCTCCATATGAATGGCTCTTGGATATGCTTTATTCATAGCAGGAGTGTGTGTTGTCCTTGTGGTTTAATGTGTTTCACCTTCCAGTAAAACCAAGAAAACATATACCATCATTGTGGTTCATGTTTCAAAAATGTACGTTTATGAAATATGTCTGAATGATTTACAGCAACAGCAGTTGAAACTAGCGGAGCTGATACAGCATGTCCCAGCTATACTGTACAAGACTCACCAGCACAAGGACACAAAAACAGAAGTCAAGATTTACATTCTTATTGACAGAAACAACTCATGATAATAGAGACACCATCCATCCATCCATTTTCTATACCCGCTTCTTCTGTGCAGGGTCACGAGGGAGCTGGTGCTTATCTCCAGCTGTCTGTGGGTGAGAAGCTGGACAGGTTGCCAGTTCATGTACACACAGGACAAACAACCAAGCATACACTCATTCCCACCTAAGGGCAATTGAGAGAGACCTATTAACATAACAGTCATGTTTTTGGGCTGTGGGAGGAAGCCGGAGTACCCAGAGAGAACCCATGCATGCACGGGGAGAGCATGCAAACTCCATACAGAAGGACCCCAGGCTGGGAATCCAACCAAGAACCTTCTAGCTGCACGGTAGCAGTGCTACCAACTGTTTCAGCGTGTAGCTCAAATCCTTTGAGACAGTCGAACCAACGACCTAATGATGCCTAGGTAAACTCTCTACAGTCCTCCACTCTACCAACTGAGCTAATGAAGGCCATAGAGACGCTATTGACTGAAATAATCGTAGCAAACAAAACTAAAGATGCTTTAAGTTGACAATCTGTGCAACAAATCCATATATCCCTAAAGCCAGAGTTGTTTTAAATGGTGTAAAAAGTCTACCTCTCTCAAAGAGTGCGTGTCTGGTGTGTGAAGTGATGTAAGTCCTTCCTGTTCTCTAAAAATCTCAACAAGAGAATTACATCAGAAAAAGAGAGGAGAAACAGAGAATAGCTGTCTCTGTCCAACAAGGAAGAAAGACCTAAACAGCCCATTGTTTTCTCAGACCAGGGAGTCGTGTGAAAGTGTCGTGTGTGTTCCTGTTTGTGCGTCTGATTGAGGGCCTTTTTTCGTGTTTCACCAGCAACCTAAGGACCATTTGTTGTAAAGGGAGGACATTTTCATGGTCCTCACTTGGTATTTTTCTGGAGGTTAGGTTTAGGACTATGGTGTGTATTGAGACAAGGTTAAGGTTAGGGTATCTACTGGTGATGGTTAGGTTTAGGTTTAGGGTCAGGGTTAGGCCAGAAAGGGTTGAAAATGAATGAAAATGAATGAAAGTCAATGACAGTCAATGCAAGGTCCTCACAACATAGAGTAAGACAAGAGTGTGTGTGTGTGTGTGTGTGTGTGTACAAGGTATTGCTGAGGTCTATTCCCTTAAACGTAAGAGTCAGTGACACATGCACGTGGTCATGATTCCTCTAAATTACATTTATCCACACTGCAAGGTGGCATTTGTCTGAGAGAATCAGTTTTTCAGTGGGTTGAGTTTGATTTCCTGAAATAAAAAAATAAAAAGGGCTACAATCACTTGTACAAAGAACACTTGAACCTCATCGTTGCAATACAAAGTGCTTTAATGGTTCCCCCATTTATTCAATGCCTCCTATTACACACATCCACTCATTTACCTGTAGTGCTTTTACTTATATTGAAGGCAAGTCCAAAGACACCTTAACAAAGTAAAAGTGTGAATTAAATGGCAGTAATGGTTATACAGACCAACAGTTTCTAAAGATGTATTATAAACCGCTGTTGTTAAAGCTGGTAGCTAAACAACAAAAAATATGCTTTAATCAAGCTTATTTTAAAGAAAAACTACTGATACCACTGCCACCTTTCGGCTGTCTTACAACTAATTTCTGAAGTAGTGACAACATTTTATTGTAATTATAATATGAGTTTTAGTTTTAATTGCTGTGCACAAATACTACATTTCTTCCAAAGTACAGCTTCAGATCTGGATGAAAAATTATGTTAATAAGGCATTTTGAATCATTGATTTTCTTGACACTCTGCCAGGAAACTATTTCTATGCAAGTAAAATATATATAATATCACAATTTCTTTTTAATTTAACACAATGAACACTTTATAATTCTTTATTGACCACATGCTGAAAGTGTGAATAGTTCTGCCATAAACATTTATAGGATTTTCAGCCTTTCAGTTTTTTATTATATCAGATAGGCTTTATTTGGTTTTCCTTTACATTGCTGGTGCAGCTGATGAACTCAACTTCACAATATTTGAAAGCATTCCTGACATTTTGTTATACTGAGTGACAGATCTTGATTGGGTGCCTCTTGTTCACCTTGTAATATTTGTGACTTTGCATTAAATGAGCCTGAAAATTCCAGAAATTGGACAAAGTCCTTCCTATTTGTTGTGTGTCAGTAACAATAATGATGTGACCAACTTGCAGAGCGTCTACCTCATTTAGTTAAAAATGGGGATAAGCTGGAAGACTTCCATTAAGTGTTTCCGGCCTCAGGATTCAGAGTGTGACAGTCTCAATTAAACTGAAATGACATCTCAGTGGCTGGTGGAGAAGAGGCGATCCGTGAGTTTCTCAGCATGAGGCTCAGATTAGTGGCCATGTCACTCAAACCAAGGGGGATGAGACTGAGACTCATATGACCTCACATTTTATTACTATAGTAAGTGGCAACATTTAAATCATCCTAGAGATTATGTACAACGCAGCTTACGTCTTATGAAACACAACTTTGAATCCCAAAATGAACATAAAGTGGACTTGGAGCTTCCTATAGTTGTTGTATAAAACTAGCCAATTTAATATATTTGGAAAATTAAATCAGACCCTATCAGCCAGTGGGCTTAGCAGGAGGCAGATGCAGCTAAAAAGGTTTTTTATGGGATGTACTGCCCCGAGTTGGTGGATTTTAAGTATGATGCATTGCTGTCAGTGTAAGTTGCCACAGAGGGGAGAAGTATGAATTGAATTGGCTCTTTTATTAATGGATTAAGCTTCTGAGCATCATGGCTCAGGGTGTGATATATATTACATGTGCGTGTGTGTATTTGAGAATTGCTGAGTATTTTTGATTGAATGATTGTGAATGAACCATATTGATCAATACACATGAAACAGTCATAATGCAACTGATTTGAGAAGTTTTCTTTAAAAGAAATCTGTTTTCGCCTTGTTATCGTGGGGTACTGTGTGTACATCTTTAAAAAAAAAGTACTGATATATGTTTTAGAGATAGTCTGTGACAACAAAAAAAGGAAAATGTGAAGGGTTGTGAATATTTTTAGGTGGCAGTGTATGATTTATGTTGAGGCGTGTGGTTCTGGTGGTGGTGGTTTGGGCTATGATACGCAAACATGTTCTATGAATATAATTTTCAGACTCTATACCTAGAGGAATAAGGTACAAAAATTTTTTTTCCCCAAAACCATATCAAATGATATATGATAAAGAGGTGCAATAGTCTGCACTGTGCGCATCAGAGTCCCATCATGAGACATGCAGGCATTGGCCGGTTATCGCTCACAAACTTCTAAAAAGTCACAGTTTTAAAACTAGAACTGTAACATATAGCATTTTTTTGCTTGGTTTTGCTTGGTTTCTTTGGACAAATTAACTTTATGGTTCTTAAACCATGTTTTGTCAATGGGTAAAGGCTGAGCAGTCAACTCTAATATTCTTTTAGGAAAGTGCAGTTCTTGCTTAAATTCTTCTTTCTAAGCACATCCCTCTCAATGATGAAAAATAAAAAAATAATTCACATTTTTACTTAATAAATAAACTTGACCTATAATTTTTCAAGATCACTGCCTCTGTCTTGAGAGATTGCTGATTTTCTTAATCTTATGTAATTTAGTTTTTCGAGTTTCATACTTATTTCGATGATTTAGTACATTTAACATTTAAGCTCAGTGGAAAGTAAAAGTTTTTGTTATTTCCTAATAAATAATGAAGTGTCCAGCTGGAAGTTCGAATCAGTGAACCATGGCCCAAAGGTGAGATGGCTTAGCAATGAATAAATATAGTCTTGGTTCTGGTGAGGTTGAAAAAAAAAAAAAAAACAACTTCTACATTACAGTTTTATTGTGTCAAGGCAAAGTGAAATAGTGTTTATTTTCATCAAGGGAGGCCCCAGGGGACACGTCTCCACCTATGTGAACATGCTGCTCCATGGCGCTAAAGGGGGAGAGAGTGTGATGGGGGAGTGGAAACAGGAGTGCAGTTATGTAATGGGTAATGCCCTCTCTCCATGTATGGTGTCCACTGGCAGCTGGTGTACTGCCCATCAGCACAAGGGCAAACGCACAGATGAATGGGGAAGGGCTGGTGGCTTGGAGATGGAACACGGGCTGTGGAGAAACTCAGCAGGAGGCAACTGGTCTCCATAACATGAAGAAGAGATGACAGAGGGACAATAAGGTGCATTAACTGTAACATTGTTCGGAGTTCCGGTTATGAACATGCGTGTGTCGGAACCCCCGTGAAAATTCATAGAATAAATTTATCAAACAGCCAGTGTAGGACCTGGGAATTGTCACATTTTTTGTGCGGAATCTAGAACAACCAGCCCTAATGCCTCCGAAACAAGCTGCAAAGACTCAGAAATCATCTAAAGCAGAAACTACAGGTGACCCAAGAATGGCTGATGCGAATGCTAGCAATGGAGACTCAGATGCGGTGGCTAGCTCGAGCTCGATTCTTAACACCATTAGTGAGCTGAAAGAAGAATTCACACTGAGGTTTGATGGCCTGTTCAGCGCTATTAAGGGAATACAGGGTGACCTGAAGGCAGTGTCACTACGTGTTACTGAAGCGGAGGACAGAATCAGCACTAATCAAGACGAGGTAGCATCTTTGAAAACTCAGACCAGCACCATGAAAGCGGCGATTGAAGAGCTAGTCTCAAAAATGGACGACTTAGAAAACCAAGCCCGCCGCTCGAATCTTCACCTGGTCGGTCTCCCAGAGAAGGTAGAAGGATCTGATATGTGTGCCTTTCTGGACAGGTGGATACCTGAAGTGCTTGGTGAACATCATTTTCCTCGACCCATACTGATTGAGAAGGTGCACAGAATCGGCGGAGCCAGCGTTAATGATGCTGAGGCAGGGGGCTGCTCTGGTGCGCGTCCTAGAGTGGTTATAATGAAGTTTCTAAACTACGTGGATAAGTTTCGGGCCATGAAGGCTGCCAGGAGCAAGGGGAAAATACTCTACGACAACCAGAGAATCATGTTTTTCCCCGACATTTCCGCGGATCTGGTCAGACGGAGGAAAGTCTTTGACTCGGTGAAGAAAGAGCTGGCTTCCCTCTCCATCTCGACTCTGCGATATGGGATAATTCATCTGGCGAAACTCTTGGTGACTATTAAGGGGAAACAACATATCTTTGATACCGCAGCGGGAGCAAAGGATTTTGTGCGTGGTTTGAAGGACGGTACCCTGGGATCCGCGGATTTAGAGGCAATCTGAAACCTGTCTATTCGGCTGGTATGTTTAAGTCACAAAATTTTACTTCTTTGACCTCACAGGGAGTGTACTTAAACACTGTTTAATTTGTGCAAAATAACTGTTTGATGCACACGTAGTTTTACTTATGTTAATGTTATTTCATGCAGGGCTCTACTACGGTGGTGGGGCATGCTGTTCCTCGCTGCGTTGAGGACGTGGGTGGACCAGTTAGGCGTCATGGTTTGGATGCGTGTTCTGTGGGAGGTAGGG